TGCACAGTGTTTCAGAGGGAATGAGAAGGGCTGTGAAGGAGCAGACACCTTCACATTCACTGCAAACTGCGTTAGGAGAACCCTGCCTGGATTGTTATATGCCTGGAGCACAGCCCACGTCCCATCTTCTATTGAGAAGGACTTAGAATATTGAGCAGGCATGAGTTGGCAGCATGGATCACACAGTCTAGGCTAGGACAGAGGCAAGCATAGGGAATAGGGAGAAGGCCAATGAAACAAAGACAGGAAATATCTTCGTCAGACCACTAGGCTTTCTGTTAGCACCAACTCTGATAAATGGGTTGTTAGGAAATACTGGGAAGGGTGTGAGGTTTAGTGGGAAAGACTAACACTCATTACTGATGTTTTGTGATACCAGTTATCTACACTACCTAACAAGCTGCCCCCAAACTTAAGGCTTAAAAAGCAACTTATTATTTACTCATAATAATATGGGTCAGCAATTTGGGTTGGTTTTAGCTGGGTGGTTCTTCTCCTGGTCTCACCTGGGTCACCCTTGTGGCTGCTATCTTTGAGCTGAACTGGGTGTTCTACGATGAGCTTGCTCTCATGCTGTCTGTTTGGCCTCTCTTAAATGGTCTTCAAGGAGATTAGTCTGGGCTGCATCCTGCCACGATCTCATGTGCTAAGAGTTGACAGTAGAAGCTGAAAGGTCTTTGTAGCTTAAACTTGCAAATTCTACGATGTCACATCTATTACATCATGTTCATCAAAGCAAGTCACAGGGCTGTTGGAGGAGGTCATTAAGAGAACATGACTGCAGGTTCTCCTGAGAGCTGGACTTGGGCAGTCAGAGGCCTCAACCCCTCCCCTGTCCTTGGAATATAAGTTCTGGCCACTGATCCTACAGTGGGAGCTGTTTTCAAGAACACAGACTTGAGAAAGCATTGTGTTGATGAGACCATCTGGATGGTATACATGACTGAAAGTGGCTAAGGCCTCTATATAAATTTTAAGATTGTGGCGGATGGGTGGAACTACTCTTATTGCCTACCCCCAAGACAAGTCTTGCAGATAATTCCCCTTCCTTAGTAAACCTGCCGCCTACTATTCTGGAATGGCCTGCCTCTTTCCAGGGTTGCAGATAATTTCCATCTCATGACGGTAGAGACAGACAAGCCACAGTGCAAAAGGCACAATTTCCGGGGGAAGGAGGAAGACATTTGTGACCGTCTTTGACCTACCACATCTCTAGGGCTGGTGAGAGTGTGAGAAAGTCGTGCCTAGGAGAATGACAGCACGAATCCTGAGTGTCATCCCATCCTGCACCATCATAAGCCTTTTAACCAAGTTGCAAAGACAAACTGTGATGGTTTCCTTTTAAAGGAGGAAAAGGATTATCTTGATACCCCAATAAACACCTGTCACTCACTGTGCAAGGGTAAGAGCCAGGCTCCATCATTACAGGGAGGTTTAAAGAATTTTCAGACTTGTCCATATTGCTCATCTACTGCTGTTTTCGTGATTTTTTAAATAAAGTTAATGATACCATAAGAAGGACCTTCCAAATCTCGCTCTACTAAACTTAAAGCTATAAGAAATTTTGCAGGCCATCTGATTAAATTGGAAATGTAAATGAGTTTTAATACAGTTTATCACTTTTGTGTGAGAAACTAAACCAAATCATTGAAATCCACAAATATTCTAAGTAGAAAAGACTTAACCACAAGGAACACATGCCTCTTTGTGAAAATTTAGTCATTTCAATAATAAGTAGAGGGAGAAAAGTACTGGGATGAAGACTAGTGTGTTCCACACACCAACCATGTGCCAGGCACATTGCACACATTAACTCATTCATGGCTCTCAATAATCTGAATATATTAAAGTACTCTTATCACCTTTTACAGATGGAGAATCTGAGATTCAGCAAGGCAAATGACTTGCCAGAAGGCATCACCGAGATAGCTTGAAAGCTGGAAATTCAACCTGATTCCCCCCATCATCCTAGCTTCTTTCTGGTTATTCAGATTGACATACATTTTATACAGGTATTCAAATTATGCACATTTTAGCCTTTTAAAAATCTATACACCATAAGCAATTTTTCAGCTGTGATACAGCTTCATAATTATCCTCTTTAATGGCTACATGATATTTTAATATTTCTTTGGTATGCTGGACCATAATTTAATTCACTATTCTGATGTGGACTTTTAGGTTTCTTGCCTTAGAGCTCAGAATCATGAACTCGATTTAATCTGCTTACAAAAATTTCAGGGGATCGTTGTGATTCTTTTTCTGGACAAAACATTTATAACTCTTCTGAACCTTGTCAATCTTTTTTCCTTTTTTTTTGTCATTTTTCTTGAAATGGTATTTATTAAGAGAAGAACTGCTTAGATAGTTATTGACTCATATATGAAATTAGGCACCTACTTATGTGCCTAATATTTCTACTCATTGTACCCAAACATTTTCTGCTTATTTAAAGAATGGCCCTCTGCTAAGAAAGTCTCGTTTCCATTGCAAAAAGCACTTTCAGACTCATCAGGACGGTGAGGGTGTGACCGCCCGGGAGCCGCCCTAGGAGAGATGGGCATGCACATCCCGGCTCTAGCCAGTAGGTGTCTCTATTTCCCTCACCCTCTATTGCAGGGTCCTCCTGCTGGGGAAGACTTGAGAGTGGGGCCTCCACCTACGCTCTCCCTTCTACCCGCCTCCCACCCCGCAGTCTCCTGATTCATGGTATAAAGGCAATTGAAACAGAAGTGTCGTTTAAGTTTAAACACATTCTCTACCTTACAGAATCTGTTTGCATAGTGGGACTGGTAACTGAAAGCGATCTTTACAGAGATGAAGCCTTTTCTCTTTAAATAGCACCATACTCTGAACTCAAAGCTGTATTACTGAGTCATAATAATTAATTACACTCAGAGGTGAGAAGACAGGATTTAACGCTCTAATGGGATTTGAATTTAGGCTGTTATCTCATCCCGCTGCTATTTAAAACAAAATCACTTTTCTACAGAAGCATCTGTAGCTGAGGATGGTTTCAAAGCTCAAGTCTGAAGACATCTCTGGCAACTGAATATTCCTGTTTTAAACCTTCCTGAGAGGTTTAATATGCATATTTGGATTTTCTAGATTTCTGTAATGAACCTCTTTTTGCTTTGGGATTTGATAAAAGAGTATTAGGAGGCTGGGAAAGTTTATTATTGTCAATAATTTTCTAGGTGTAGGAGGTATGCAGGATGAGTTATTAGAAAAGTAAAAATATCATCTCAAAAGGGAGACCACCTGACAAAGCATCTGAGATGTATTTCTGCACAGGGCTGGAGCACACACACCTCGTCAGACGGGATTTCTTTACTGGCCCAGAGCAGGTGGTAGGGCCTGGGGAAGTACGTGAGAATGTAAATCCTCATGGTGGTTTTCTGGCAGATCCAGAGGGCTGTGGCCACGCAGAGAGAAAGATGTGTCTGGAGAGCACCTCTGTGGCTTTGCCAGAGGCTCCTAGGGCCCCGAGGGCCTTGGGCCTGCCAGGGCAGGTGGCACCAATGAACAACTGTGTGGTCCAGAAGTAGCTGCCTGAAGCTGCGGATCTGGATTACTGCCCTGTGGCTCTCCTCTGGGTGACTCCACCAATCACCTGCTCCCCAAGCCTTGGAAGATAGGGGTTTCTGTCCATCCGTTGCTGAGAGGATCTGATGAGCTGAGAGCTGGATTGTGGCACACTCTGATACCCAGAAACCACTCTACCTGTGCGTGGTAATGGACAGAGCCTTCTGGACCTAGGGAGTTAACTTTGACAGCACAGCAGCAGCTCAGGACCCGGTCTGTGCACATACACCCGCCCCAGGGCCATATGGTATCAGGACTCTTCCCCTGCCAGCCCCTCTGCCACCTGGACCCTGACTCCCAGGAGCCTTGGGTTCCTATACACTGTTCCCCTTCCCCACTATTATTACTTCTGTCCCTCAGCATTTCCTCCCACACTCGTCAGCAGCCCTCCAGACTCCGCTTGGCATTGCCATCCTGCCGAGTGCCCCCTACTCCCAGCCCCACACGGTCCCTCTTTTCCTCAGGTGTTTCCATGGGCAGAGCAGTTAGAGGCATGTGGCAGGCGCACCAGCCTCCAAGTCGTCCGAGGTGCGCTCCCCAAGCCACTCACTGGCGGTGTCACCCTACAGTGCCTTGAACTCTGCAAGCCTCCTTTATTTCATCCACGTGATGGGATATTAATACTTGTCCAGTTGTCAAGAGAATGGCAAGAGCCAGGCCTTTTTAGGACTAGTGATTCTGCGGTGGCCAACACTTGCCAACCTCCAGGCTTGGAACCCCCAGCGGCCCCCGGCTTATCTGGGGGTTTCAGAGCTCCCTGCAGCTCCTGCAGGCCTCGGGAGGGCTGCAGGATGGGGGCCCTCACCCAGGTACAGGCGCCCCAGTTCACCGCCGAGTGTTGCTGCTTATCAGGCCCATTTTGGTGGTCTTACGGAAGTTCCCCTATGAAGCTCTTCTCTCCCCTTCTATTTCCTTCTTAACTTTTATCACCCTGACCCAGCACCCATTCATGTGTTTTTTGGTCATTGGTTGTCCCCACCCCTAACCAGAACCAGCTCAGGAGAGGAGGATTGCACGCGGTATCCTCAGAAGCCAGCATGGCTTCTGTCCTCTGCACGCGGTATCCTCAGAAGCCAGCATGGGGGCCGAAATGTAATAAGTGCTCAGTTAACGTGAGTGGGACAAATGAATGGAAGTGTGTAACGCAGCGCAGTGCCTGGCAAGACACGGGGGATTCAGAGCCCCCTGCTGAACCGAGGCTGGAGCCCCCAGGGGGCTACGGCTTCTCCTTCTGGCAGACCCGCTCTCCGGGCCCGCCTGTCCTCTCCTCCCAAACGCCATCCCGCCCGGGCGCCGCGGGCAGCGGGCCGCCGGCTGGGCTTGGCCGCGGCCCGGGCGGGGATCTGCGGCCCCGGGAGCGGGCCTCGAGCGGGTGCGGGCCCCGGGCATGCTCAGAGCGCGCAGGTCCGGGCGGCGGCGGCGGCGGGGGAGGGGGAGGGAGCGGCCGCCGCCGCCGTGCGCTCGCGGGCCGGGCGGAGCTGCGCAGTCCTCTCGCAGCTGCGCCAGGACAGCGGCGCGGCCGTGCCCACAAGTTGCCGGCAGCCGTGCGCCGCGCCGCCTCCTCCTGCTCGCGGCCCCCTGCGCCCACTGGCTCCAGGACGCACGTCGCGCGGACCCCCACCCACATGTAAAGCGGGACCGCAGCTCCTCGTACCCCGGCGCCCTCCAGAGTCACGCCAGCGTCTCCCCTGCCAAACCCCGCGGCTGGAAGATGTGGCAGCCGGCCACCGAGCGCCTGCAGGTAAGGGGCACCGGGATGGCGGGGGGCCAGTCTGGAGGAGGAGGTGTCCGGGCCGGAGGGGCCGAGGTGGCGCGTCTGCCCACTTGGAGGGATTTGCCCGAAGCGGTCGCGTACCACGCACGAGTAAGAGCCTGGTGCCGTCGGCTCAGCCCAGCGCGGGGCACCCTGGCGGGGCGAGGGGGGCGATGAAATTGACGAACGCATCGCTTCAGGCGGGACAACTTTCAGCTTGGGGTGTTTGTGTGCATGTTGGTCTAAGGAAGGTTGGACTTTTCTGACCAGCAATTTTAGATTGTATTGGATTGTATTGCACTGACACAGCTTAATGGTCTGAGGTTAGGGTTTTTGCATCCAGATTTTTTGTTTTTTGTCGCCAGGGAAGACAAATGATTTGTGAAGGCGTCCATTTGCCAATATAATTTGGAAATATTAAGCTTGGTTTGGCTTGGTCATGGTATGCTACTTATTTTATTTCATTTTTTCCCTATTTGCTGGCACTCTCCCTTCATCTCCCCTGAACCCAAGCTACCCCAGATATTTTAAAATAAAAAATTAAGTTCAGGAATAGTTATGTCCGGGTCATCCCATCAGAAGTTTTTTAGTGCTGTGTCTGAGATGCCAAATTGCCTTTCATGTGGATTCTGAAGCTAGGGATTGGGGAAGAGGGTCCAAGTGAGAAAGAGGGACTTTGCCCGAGGGGAGATCATGCAGTGACCCCTGGGGCCCTGGAATAGCTCTGACCACAAGGTTTGAGGACTGCCTTTGCCTGCAGATTTTCTCAAGGGGGAGGGCAGCTACCCAGCCAGATAAAATCCACTGAAACCTGCAGTTAAACTTTTGGCAGGCTCAGAGCCATATTGTTTCATAGTGAACTTTGAAGAAGTGTTTTAGTAGTAAAATAGAGAGCTGCTGGAGGCAGAGCCGGTCTGAACACTTAGGACAGTGGAGGCTGGGAGCCCTGGCTGGCTTGGGAGGTTTCTCAATGAAAATTGAAAGCTCCACACAGATGATCCCTCAGGTGCTGGGAGAGGCTCACCTTTGCCTGTAAATGCTCATACTGAGGATTCACCTGCAGAGGGCATTGCGTTTAGCAGAAACACGTGCTCCACAGGCCCTTCTTTGCAAGCCTCCCTGGGCCTGAAATTTACGGGAATGGGTTAACATTAACAGGAGCCGACACCGGGCCAATTCCCCTGGGTCTCAAACAGACTAAACAAGAAAAGGGCCCTTTAGCCTTGGAGATGGGGTGGTGGGTGACCAGCCTCTAACTGCCTCCTTGTCTTACTAAGAGAACATTAACAGCAGGCTCTGAACGATTGGCCAAAGGTGATGTTAATGTATTTTGGTGGTAGCACCAGTCACCAGTTGTGCATTTGAATTCCTCCTTCAGCTCAGGGCTTGGATTCCCTTCTAGAAGGGAGAGTGATTGAGGTGCAGGTGCAAGTGGAGCGTTCCCCATTCAAGGGAGGAGAGTGGCTCTTGGAAGTCCTTAGAGAGATGAGGTCAGAGTTCCTTCAGGTGGCTTTTATGGCCTGGCGATCCATTCCTTTGTGGAGTTTGTGGATTTTGTCTCCTGACGCTGCTTCTATTGGCCTGTTTCATTTAGGGACTCCTGTGCGCTCCAGAGCACGTGACCCTTGGCAGGCGAGAGCTCTGGCTTGCGTTCTCCGTGGCGATCGTTCCTTGCTGGAAATGTCCTGGCTCTTCAGTGAAATGTACACATGTGCATTTGGCTTGAGTCTGGCTTATTACAGTCTGCATTTGCAATGCGTTTATTTCATTTTGAGGTGTCACGTTGAGCGAGCCTGGGCTTTGGGTGTTTGAAAGCTCAGGAGAACAGGGCTTATCACTGAGATCAAACCTCTGTTGGGATGTACTTATCAACACGGGGTTCAACTTCATACTCCCCACATTTAAATTGGTAAACAGTCCCGATTCTCTTTTAAAAGTATGTCTCAAACCTTGTCATTATAAAACTGAGCCAAGGGTAGAAAAATCTTTTCCATATTCATGCCTTCTTTCCCCAGTAGCAGCTCTACTCTTTTTAAAAAACACAACTAGTATGTTTTCACTTTTTGCTTCCGGGGAAGGTGGCTGGTGTGGGTGAGGTGGTGAGTGAGCTGCCTCTAATATTTTATTTACATTCCTTGTGGTTATCTTTGTCATGATTTCTGTTTGCTGTCTGGGGTTTCTTCTTCCCCTTTTTGCCCTCAAGACACCACCATATAGAAGGACGTTTCCGATTTCTCAGGGAATGGGATGCGTTACCATGCCTAGATTCTGCGGCCATGAAGGTGGCGATGGAAATCGTGTTCATGGGGCAGTAATGAATGAAGTCAAAGCCCCACCCTCCTGGCACAAATCTTTTTAACCTTCTCATACAACCTCATTAATTTTTAATGCAAACATTCACTTTAGATGAGCTGGAGTGAAGACAATGCTTTAGAGAAGCCTTCCCAGAGGTTCCTAATAGGACTGAGGAGTCAATTTATTGTACAAATATCCAGAAACAAAAGAGGCAAGGCAAGAAAAGCCCAGTATCTTTTCTTAATCGATTTTACAAGCCCCTATCAGATGCCCATCCAGAGGGCCTGTGGCCCTGGGAGTGTGGCAGGACTGAATCCAGTCACTCTCTCGTCTGAGTCCAGCAACCAGCTCCCTTGCTCAGGAAATGGCATCTTTGGTCAGGTTTGAGCATCATTTACCAATACCTGCTGCTTTGCAAAACAAAATGATGCTGATATTGTCTGGTTTGAGATTTAGCTGTTTGACCCAAATCCAGCACTGGCGAAGCGAGCGACACGTTGCCCCAAGCAGGGCTGAGCTGGGTAATTTCTCATTCAGTCACACAAACGGCGGCAAGTTCATCTGCTCCCTTGAATGTTAAAACTGCTGTTGCATCCCACTCGAGCCCTGGCTGGGAGCTTCTGCCGTTAAAAATATAATAGGATCCGAAGGGATAGGAAGATTTAAACGACCACCCCTGCTTTTTTGAAATGAGCAAATATGAATCCTTCCCTCTTCCCATTCTCCCCTGCACAGTGCACTTTTTTTTTTTGTCTTGGAGGGACTCGGACGAGTTGCAAATTTTTAAAGAAGCAGATTTGAAACAGGCTCTTTCAGGAAAGCAAAGGGGACTTTTCAGTAGAAAAAGGCTAAGTGGTGGTGTTTTTTTAAATAGCGATGAGATTACTTCTGGCCTCGATATTTTAAATTTTTCATGGGTTTCCTGACTGTGTTAATTACTGGGCTGGGCCAGTCCATCAGAGTGACTTATGCGTATGAGAGTGGGGACACACTTGGCCATACGGAATGTGCACTTCTTCAGACCGTATGTCTTCAGTGGGCCACCAGATTCATTTTTCTGGAGGCTGGGAAAGGAGGAGAGCAGGAGAAAGATGAATGAGACAGAGTTTGAAACAAAGGAGGCCCGCACACCCTTGCCTGTGGTATAGTTATTATAAAGGTGGAGTGGAATGTGATAGTAGGAACGTATGGGGAACAAGTTCTAGCATATTCTGATGGTAGAGTCTGTGTGTAACCATCTTCTTATAAGGCTTTCTATAAAGGTTCCAATTTAATCATCTGCCGGTCTTTCCTGAGACTAACATTTCTTCATGACAGATTTAGAAAGTACAGAACTTTTATCCATCAGCTGGCTCTTGGCTTCCCAGCTTGGACCATTCTGTTTGCTTTACCACATTTTTTTCACTCTCATTTTTGTCTGATACCTGTGCATTGGCATTTCCAACAAGGGTGGAATGAGGAAGGGTAGAGAGAAAGCCAGATCCTAGGAATCTTTCTGGTTTCTTCTTAGACTCTGGGCTGGTAAAAAAGTTTAAGGTTTTTTTTTTTTAGGAGCAGTTCTTTTTTTTTTTTTTTGGTATCATTAATCTACAATTACATGAAGAACATTATGTTTACTAGGCTCCCCCCTTCACCAAGTCCCCCACATACCCCTTCACAGTCACTGTCCATCAGGGTAGAAAAAAGCTTAAGTTTTTAACTGAATAATATTTGGAGATTTTAGGAGGTCAGAGTACTCCCTCCCCAGGATGATCTTGTACTTCCTCTGCATTGTCTTAGCTGGTAGATTTCACTTCGACTTGGAGTGGGGATTGTTCTGGACTTATTTCTCTGTTATGCCACTTCCACATTTTCTCTTAGATGTGAGACAGCAGAATCCTCTAGAAGGTCAGTTGGAGACCACTAGACCAGTCCCATCAGGCAGGGGAATAACCTTGGCAAATATGACACTTTCTAAGCAGAGCAAACTGACATAAGGGACACAGAGCAGGGAAGATAATGACAGCAGTCTGCTTTTATGGAGTATGTGCTGTGTGCGTGGCTCTGTGCTAAGGAGTTTTATTTTAATTATCTAGCTCATTTACCTCCTGTACCCACGTTTATTCACATTTTGTAGATAAAGCTAGAGAGGGTAAATGATTTGGCCAAGGCTGGACAGTTGGAAGTGAGCTGAGCTGGAATTTGAACCAGGCAGTTTGACTCCTGAGCTTACTTCTTACCTGCTTCTCTGTAGTGCAGAAGATGAGAATGCAGGAAGCTCTTCACTTGCTGGTGCTGTTGTTATTAATCAATAGAATTAGAGCAAGTGGCCTCATTGGCTCAGACATGCTGTCATGTTTTTTGTTGAAGTGGAGTGGTTGGTTGCCTGTGTTGACCTAGGGATACCTTCTTTTTGGTGGTCCACATATCTGTGGAAAGTAGGCTGCAATGTCGTCCTTAAATTGAACTTCCCAAGTGCCATTTAAGAGTCTCTTCAACTGGAGCCCATGGCATTCATCCAAACTAGAGATGTTGAATGCTGGTAATCAAGCCTGATCACGTCTGGAGTCATTCCACGTTTAGAACAAAAATGGGGGAAAGGGAGGGAAAAGGTTGGAGAGCTCAAGAGCAATTGGTTAGAAATAAGCCATAGCTATTCTTACCTGGGCACAGGTTTCTCCTTAAATTAATTCTAAATTTTTCTATTCTTTCCA